AATGACGAGACGTTTGGTAGCTTGTGTACCTTAATGACGAGACGTTTGGTAGCTTGTGTACCTTAATGACGAGACGTTTGGTAGCTTGTGTACCTTAATGACAAGACGTTTGGTAACTTGCAATGTTGGAAGCAGTGGGAGTCTGTGGTACAAACTGTATATGTAAACAGTTTTTACTTGTATTGCTAATATTAATATAAGTTATCATTCTGTAGAGCCAGCCAGAGGAAGAAGATACCTTATGTAAAGCTTGTGGGAAACATATTCACCCGATGGATAAAATTGTGGCAGACGAAACTGCTTTCCATAAGAGCTGTTTTTGTTGCAAGGAATGTGGAAATTCACTCAAGTATGTATTTTCGTAGCCTTCTCTTTTACTGTCGAGTTGAAGACTTAATGTGAACACTTTATTCAACGTAAGTTTAAGATAACTTTTAATAAGCTAACCTCATTTCTTTACTTTCTACTGCTACTTGTGAACATTCATTACAATTGTAGTTGTAACTGATTGTCTGTTTGATAACCAATCATTGTCAACATGCAGGGACAGATTAAAGGTAACTTGGTGCCATGGGAGGTGGCCTGGTCAAGGACCCCCTATTTACATTGACGTCGTGCAGTATATTTCATTATTATAATTTACTGGTAAGCCATGGGCCCACTCTAAGCCCCCCCCCCCAAATCTGGCCCTGTTGACATGATCCCAAGACTCGCGCAGATTTATTCAAATCTGATGACTTGAAAAACGCCAGTTTTAACCTCCCCACAATATAGAAACCAATTGTAAGTGCTTATGATGCCCTAAATTTCCCACACTTATAAAAATCATAAGTTTAATTCATTTTATAAACATATTCCTTTCATTCAACACTACAAACTGTAATTTTAACATTATTGTTTTAGACTATCTCAACCACCAGACAGCGTAATTTTAACACTATTGTTTTAGACTATCTCAACCACCAGGCAGTGTAATTTTAACACTATTGTTTTATACTATCTCAACCACCAGAGAGTGTAATTTTAACACTATTGTTTTCGACTATCTCAACCACCAGACAGTGTAATTTTAACACTATTGTTTTAGACTATCTCAACCACCAGGCAGTGTAATTTTAACACTGTTGTTTTAGACTATCTCAACCACCAGACAGTGTAATTTTAACAGTTGTTTTAGACTATCTCAACCACCAGACAGTGTAATTTTAACACTTTTGTTTTAGACTATCTCAACCACCAGATAGTGTAATTTTAACACTATTGTTTTAGACTATCTCAACCACCAGATAGTGTAATTTTAACACTATTGTTTTAGACTATCTCAACCACCAGACAGTGTAATTTTAACACTATTGTTTTAGACTATCTCAACCACCAGACAGTGTAATTTTAACATTATTGTTTTAGACTATTTCAACCACCAGACATTCTGTTTGTTTAGTAAAATGATTGTATGTTTTTTAAGCATAGACAACTACATATCCCATGGGAGAGACATTTACTGCCAACATCACTACGAACAGCATTATCAGCCTAAAGTGGATAGTGAAGAGAAACTGGAAGGTGAGAAATAATTGAAAAAAGGCTTAATTACTTAGATATTGACAGTCACAATATGTTTTAATGCTCTTTTTTTGTTGTTGTTCATTGGAGATCAAAGTCAGATGTGTACTTTTATGTAGTTTAGTTAATTCCCGATTTAATTGTAACCAATTACAAATATTATCATAATTCTATAGAAACTAGTCTGATTCTTCAAATAAATGCTTTAGAGAACTGTAATGCTATTTTGGAAACTTCAGACATTAATTAAAAGATCACGGTTACCGTTAAAACGAAACGTATACCTATTAAGTCTTCAGTCCAATTGATAAAATATGATATATGAAACTGTCATTTTATTGCTTTAAGCTGTTAAATGTAGTAATGTAATTTTAATGTTGTCCAAGGATTTATGTTAATTCTCTGTATTTTACTTTAAGATACCAAAGATGGAATCTGTAGAATTACAAAATGTTTATCTGTGTCCCTCTTTTTAAAACGGTAAACATTGTTCAATATAAGTTATAATTCTTTTTATTACCAAACTCTGGTGTATATTTTCAACTTGCAAAAAAAAATATACCTAGTTTATACTTTTTAAAACATGTAAGCAAATCCTAAGAGCTGAAAACGAGTCATAACCTACTTCACATAGCCTAGTGTGGTGTGTCACCAGTGCCTCAAGCTAGTTACAGAATGTATATGTAGAAAATAAATAAATAAAAATACTAAAGAAAGGAACTGTGATGTTGTTTTATTCTTAGAAACATTTTTGTGTTACTTATCATAGTGATACAATGAATTTGTTGAACATTAAGTTGGCACACATACACACACACACACACACAGATTAAAAACTGGAAGTTTTAGTAGTAGTAGTAAAACTTGTGTGTGTGAGATTCGGAAACTATCAGTAGCATCTGTAAAAAATCAAATCACTGAATTTACAGATGACAGCAAAAAAGGGGAGGTTAGAAATGTTCACAATCTTGATGAAAGATCTCAGTTTGAAGATATTCACCCTGGTTCCACAGAAGATGAAACTCCCATAAAAAGGAAAGAGGGGATTCAAGATAGGATGACAAGGTATGGTTCACTTCTGATTTGGACCTTAAGTTTGGTCATGTAGTCTACACACTGAGCATTGTATTTGTGGTAGTCTGACTTCAGCTTGGTTAGTACAGGAAACTCGTGGTGTGTGTTTGAAGTCTAGTGATTCTTAGTAGTGGTTTTTAATTTCATTAACTATTATACACATTCTCCAATTCACAAGCATACATAACTGGATCATTTTCTTTTTTCCCTCATGGGATTTTTCTACCAGTAGTTAACAGAATGTAGGTTGATGTAGGCTTGCATCAGTTAAAGCAGAAGAAGAAACTTTTAACCAAAGCTAATCTTCTACTTCACAGAAGTTTGTGGTTTGTACTTCAAACTGTACACTAGTTTTAACACTTCTATTTTATGGGCTTCTAATAAACAATATGAAATATATTTCCTTAGATACCAGGCAGCAATGAGCAAAGATCATCAAAATGATCATCAGGCCCCATCCTCTGAAAAGGAGGAGCAAGCTTCTGCAAGGATAAACAATGATGAGGTGAGGATCCTTGGAAATAATTGAAATTTGTTTTATTGTTAATATATTTGAAGTTGTGAAATTTAAAAATACTGAAGTATGGGTCCTGAGGAACTATCATGTATCTAGTTTTGACTTCAATAAACAGTAATTTTAATTGCATTCAAAATGTTTGTCCATCATTCACAGAAATTAATTTTATCATCAAATCCATGCTTGAGAATAATGACCTACAATGGCTGTAAGAATATTGAGTAGTTTAATAAATAATCACTGATTCATTTTAATATGTGTTATCTTTAAAATTACACCTTAGTATTTACAACAACATAAAACATCACAGACTGATTTATAGGCAGATTCACGCAGTACTATAGAGATACTAAAAGGTTTAGGTTTTGATTCTGGGTGTCTTCCTGGTGATTGTCACCTAGTGGTTCAGCAGTAAGTTTATGGACTTAATATGGGTTTTGGTGTAGACAGAGCACAGACAGCTCTAGGTTAAAAACTAGTCTAGTGTTTATAGTAATTGTATTTGGCACATGATTGTCAATGTATTATCATTTCTCTGGGTGGTTTCTTACTAAATTGGCAGCATGTACATTGAGTTCATATGGTAATGGCATGTAACATTAACTAAATAATACAATTTTGTTGGTTCAATTTACTTTGAGTTAAAATATTTAAACAGAAATTGAATATTTGTTATACTGCAAGTATATTCTGTCTGATGCTTGGTTAACCTAGTCATATATATATTGATGAATAACCCTTTGAACCTACTATTAGATGTTTATTCTAACAGAGGGATCTTTTCTGTATAATATTAGTCAATCCAATTCTCTTGAGTTTGTTGTGTCTATTAATTTACTGTCATCATACTTCAATAGAAATCAACAAAGCTACAGCTTCCAACAATGTAGGGTTACTTTTAATGTCTTGATCCCCATAGTTTAATCATTCCTTATAACTTAAAGGATGGTCCCCAAGGCTGTTTGATAAGTAGTAGATGCTCACTTAACTGATGCCTAATTATTAGCTAGGACTGAACACTAGACTAAGTGTAGTTAACTAAAACTGTTGGTGGTTTATCAAACTAATTTGTTTTGACAATCAGTCCTACTGGTACTTATAGATGAAGTGTGTGAAAACTAGACTAAGTGTAGTTAACTAAAACTTTCAGTGGGTTCATCAAACTAATTTGTTTTGATAGTCAGTCCCACTGGTACTTATAGATGAAGTGTGTGAAAACTAGACTAAGTGTAGTTAACTAAAACTGTTGGTGGGTTCAACAAACTAATTTGTTTTGATAGTCAGTCCCACTGGTACTTACAGACTAAGTGTAGTTAACTAAAGCTGTCGGTGGGTTCATCAAACTAATTTGTTTTGATAGTCAGTCCCATTGGTACTTATAGATGAAGTGTGTGAAAACTAGACTAAGTGTAGTTAACTAAAGCTGTCGGTGGGTTCATCAAACTAATTTGTTTTGATAGTCAGTCCCACTGGTACTTATAGATGAAGTGTGTGTGTATCAGCAGATACTTTAATATCATGAAAATATACCAACTCATGTAGTACTTACAGAAAATACTATCTGTAGAGATAACTGAAGTAACTGTTTTAATATTTAGTGATAAGTTAATTAAGTAAGTTGTATGGTTGCTAACAAATGATTTTATCTTGTTTGCATATTTTATCTCTTGTATGTAGATTTACAATCTCTCAGATTTATGTTTTAAATCTGCTTTATCTAGATCAAACAGTTATCAAACTTACAAGGAACAGAAAGGTCATCATTAATGCGAGCAGCTTATGAACAAGCATGTAAAGAGTCCAGCAGTGTATCACCAACATGTGGCGAGTCCATAGCTTTGGGTCGAGAGATTAAGGCTGTAAGCATTAAAGAAAAATTTGAAAAAGGAGTTCTAGACCAAGAGAGTAATGAGAAGATGGAAAAAGTTCGCAGGGAAAAGGAAGAGGACTTAAGCATTGTTAGTGAAACCAGTAAGTTCTGGCTGACATTACAGTTCATTCGTATTCGAACTAGACAGCTATATATTTATCTGTTATCAGCACAGACATTACAACCACTTTGTTTTATACTACAAACTTGACTTATGAAGATTGTTTTAATACAAGTTTGCAGTTTGAAATAATAGTAGGAATAATTAAGTGACATAAAATCAATATATACACTAAGGAAATATGTAAATAACAATGAAGTAATGCGACAAGGGGTAAAGTATAAAATAGTCTTGTAAGTTACTCTTGAGGATGACGTAGATCATGTTGAAACATGTACTTGTACAGTGATATTTCTATTTTAAAGTGGATGCCGCACGACTTCAATAAAGTTTTTATTGTGTAAATATAAAACGTTGTTTTTAAATATTTATTATAATTTAAAAAATGAAAAATATTACTGTTTCTAGAGTTTTTGGTAACTGTTAATATGCTGAAAATTGTTTAAATTTGTGCATTCTTAAGCTACCCCATCATTGGATATCCAAGTAGAAGTCTAATGAGATGGGAAATGGATTATGTTAGCAGACTTTTAATGTCGCATATTAAGTATTACTAGCATTAAAATACACTTGTATTAATATTACCTGTACAAGAACTCAATCAAAGAAGTATAATTTGAAAAGGTGGCAGTATGTTACTGATGTGAACCTTTATTGCAGGAGACAGTGTGGCTGGAGCACGAACACTCTTCAAACAGTATGATACAGTCAGCACAAAAGCGACTTCTCTTCTTCCTGGCAGGTCTTCCTATGGAGAGCCAAAGCGGCCCCGTGAACTGATGTATGGTGCTAAAACTACTACGGCCAAAGAAGTAGTTAAGTGTAGTGAGCCGGGTGCCAAAGAACAAGTTGATTTGGAACCAGCCGAACTCCAAGAAAGGTTTAATTATTTTGAAAACTACAAGGAAACTAAACCTCAGCTAAAATCTTTCCCGGCTAATGAAGAAGTTCCTAGAGATCCAAAAGTGGTTCGTGCCTCTGATGTCCAAGAAGAAGTCATGGGAACAGACACGGCAAAACGGATGTTGGATAAATTTAAACAGTTAGAGAGCCAGAGTGCTGGATCATCTACTAAACCTATGATAAAAGCCAGCCCTTTAAAAGAAACAGCCAAGGTACCAGAGAAACAGTGGTCCTCACCAGAACCACAGCACAACCCTGACATTGTTCGCTGCACTTATAAGGTGGAAGACGATATGACGTGGAAAGCCGATCAAGCCAGGAACCTGAAGGCAAAGTTCGAACAATGGGATAATGAGGTTGAAAGAGAGAACAAGATAGCTGACGACGAGGGTTTACCAGAGTCCGACACAACTAAAAACTTGCGGGCTAAGTTTGAGGCTATTCGTGCAGAAAGCAATAAGACAGTTGAGAAACCTCAGCCCAGGGGAAAAAAGTTTGCAGTATGTACTTTTTGTTCTATATAGAAGTTAAAATTACAAGAATATTGTACAATTCCATTCAAACCTAATGCTAGCAGATTATATCCAGATATGATGATCCACATTTTTTAATAATTGTCACTGATGTGGAGAGTTTATGCTAAATTATGGTAAGCTGATGACTGTAAAGTAATAGCTATAACAATACGTTATTTTACTATGTTTATTCTCAAAATGTAAGGAAGTAAGTGTGTTAGTATTCAGGAATAGTATCATATTAAATAATGTGGTTCCTTGTAAGGAAAACCTAATTCTGATTTTGTTTAAAGAGAAGGATTTACACTTAAATCTTTTATAACATTTTTTTAGGAGCTTGGGCTGAGATCAGGTGAAGAATGTGATCTCTGTGGAAAGAAACTCTACCCAATGGAAAAGATGGAAGCCAGTGGGTTTAAGTTTCACAGAAACTGTTTCCGTTGCTCACACTGCAAGAGCCTGCTCAGGTAAGTTTACAAAATCCATTGTGTGTGTGTATGTCTGTCACTAAAACACTAGGTATGTGTAGCATTCAGAAGAAATTTCTTTTGGTTCCTAATACTTAATGACATTTTATTTGTATAAAATTACTAAAACTTTATTACTGCCCACAGGCCTAGAATACACTTAAACCATATTTTACTTCTCAAGATTTTCCTTTCATTCACTGATGTTATTAGTACAGCCTCTCATTTCTACACTTTTATGATCTCGAACATGTGATCTCAACAATTAATGAAGCTCAATTTTTGCAAATACTTACAGAATGGGTTATAGATTATTCACCTTGATATAGAGTCAATAATGAGGCATAAGAAGTAAGTTTATGGTTTCTTTGGACAGTGATTAGTGAGTTATTGCTCCTACGACAGAGTTTAGTGGGTAGTTTAGAAGTCTTAGAAACAAACCACAGATCTAGGACTTTTTTTTTTTTAGTTTCCTTAGATCTTTTCATTACCGAGAGCTACAGAAAGTTTCTTCTTTAACATGACATTAGATGAGTATACTTGGGTTTAATGAATAGGATAGTCGGTGTCAGAATATTATCCTTAGTTTCTATGGACAGAGTTTAGTGGGTAGTTTAGAAGTCTTGAAACAAACCACAGATCTAAGACTTTTTTTTTTAGTTTCCTTAGATCTTTTCATACCGAGAGCTACAGAAAGTTTCTTCTTTAACATGACATTAGATGAGTATACTTAGGTTTAATGAATAGGATAGTCAGTGTCAGAATATTATCCTTAGTTTCTATGGACAGAGTTTAGTGGGTAGTTTAGAAGTCTTGGAAACAAACTACAGATCCAGGACTTTTAGTTTCCTTGGATCTCTTCAATACCGAGAGCTACAGAAAGTTTCTTCTTTAACATGACATTAGATGAGTATACTTGGGTTTAATGAATAGGATAGTCGGTGTCAGAATATTATCCTTAGTTTCTATGGTGATTTTTTAAGACTCGTAAGATGGAATTATCAAAATAAATAAGTTGAAACTGATGAAAGGAAGTACTTTTCAGAACACTATCTGACAACAAAGTCCATAAATCTAAATCATGGTTTAATTGTTTTCAAAGCAAAAACTAGGTATTATTTAGTAACTTTGTGCTAAGTTTCATGCAACTTGGTTAAGTATTTCCACTGAAAAACAACAAGAAACAATATCCAGTATGGAAATAGTTTACAATATGCTGATTTCTACCTTACTGTTATACATTGTACCGTGTTA